GCCGTCTCTTCCCCGTCTCGGCCGTCTCTTCCCCGTCTCGGCCGTCTCTTCCCCGTCTCGGCCGTCTCTTCCCCGTCGTCGTTCCGCGCATCCGGACTTCGGGGGTTCCTCGCCGCGTCTCCGTCGGATCTCTCGGTCGTCTTTTCGGATTCTTCGCCCGGACTTCCTCTTCGGATCTCCGTTCCTTCTCGTCTCCTCGAATCGTTCCTCGCGCGGCACCGAGCGTCGAGCGCGTCCGCGAAGCGAGAAGACGCGTTTCGAGTCGACGAGGATCGCTCACCCTTTCGAGAAACGCGAACGAGAACCTTCCGTCGTCGACGTTGCGTTCTCGGCGAGAACCGGGAGGAGAAAAGATGCGATCGGAGTCGATGCGGAGGCCAGACGAAACGCGGAAGGATGCGGCAGACCGGACGAAGACGCACGAGAGGTCCGTTAAAAAATCAAATAAAAAAAATACTCGAGCGCTCGCTTCGAGGGGGGGAAAGACGGGCGGGACCGGCGGTCTCACGCACGCACGCACGCATCGCCTCCATCCGCACGTCCGAAGTGTATCTCTTTCGTTACGGTTCCGTTCTTCGTCGTCGTTTTTACCGGATACCGGCGAGAAAATCGAGGCGAGTTCGATCGAAGATGAGATCTGTGGCCGGCAGAACCACCCCTATGCATCTTCTCACCACCCCCTCGCCACCCTCCTCGCCACCTCCTCGCCACCCTTCTCGCCACCCTCCTCGCCACCCCCCTCGCCACCCGGTCTCCACGCGGAGCCGCTCGGTCTTCGTGCACGGGGACGATACGCCGAGGGACGGATTTAACGATTCCGAACGGTCTTCGGGTCGAACCCGGTTCGAGTATCCTCATCGATCGTCACGAACAGATCGTTATAAAAAAAAAAATGTGTCTTAGCCCCTCGCGACTGGGTCGGCCTGCAGGACTCGACGGAGTCGGAATCGAGGACATCCGTGATGTCGCCACAGAGAGAGGACGTCGAAAGCAGGGACCGGGTGGCATTTCGGAAACTTCTCCGTCCGGGACTCCCGAATCCCGGCGAAACCAGGATTCGAGAGTCCCGGAGACGGAAGCGAACGGGAGCACGGAGGGATCGGCGAACGCGGAAGATGGACTCAGGGGACTTAAAGAAATCCCAACGTCGATCCGAGAGATCGTGCCTCGAAAAAAAAAACGGCTTCACCTCCGTCGCTAAAGTCGGTCGGGATCGCTGCTACCATCCGGAGTCTGGCGCTTTTCGGTGCGAAGAAACCTCGATTCACGACGATGGAACGGTGACGATTCGAAAAGATGCCCTAAATCTGTCAGTGGGACGCGGGGAACGGCTTTCCCCGTGACTCATCCGCTGTGGCAATCGTTTGGTTCTTTTCCCGGGAGACGGGTGGAACGAGGATCCGGGAGATGCAGAATGGGGACGATGCGTCATCCTGGAACCGCGTGACCCTGGATCGGCTTCTGCCCTTCCCAGGGGTCACACGTAGTATCGGTCTCGATCGTCACGATCGAGTTCACACGGAGCTATTTTCTCGATATCGTTCGTTCGTGCACGGAGAAGACAGCGAGGAGTCCGATTTTTTATCGTAAGAAACGAGTCGCGAAAGCGAAACCGAACGGAGTCTTCATTTAAATGAAAAAAATGGCAGGCGTCTTCCTGCCGTTCTCCGACGTCGAGTCGGCGATCGAGAGACACTCGGAGGAGACGCCGGGGATGACGTCACGAACCACCGCGAGAGAGGAAGTTAACGGCATTCCGTCCTCCCTCTCTCCTTGCGGCGCGACCGGAGGAAAGTTCGCGGCGTGGAGTCGGGGGTGGAAGAGTGCGTCGGGGGATTCCACGCCGAACCTCCCATCGAGAGTCGGAGGTCGTCACGGGATCGAATATCTCGAGCCGCATCTTTCGGGACTCGTTTGGTCGATGGGAGGTGCACGATGCACGTTTCTCCCTTTTCTCCTCCTCCTTCCCCATCCCCGTGTCAGTATCCCCATCGAGTCCCGTGCGAACGTCCCCTTCCCGTGTCGGTTTCCCCTTCGAGTCCCGTGCCTCTCCCGTCCCGGAGTCGGTCTCCCTGCCGGATCCCGTCTCTCCCCGACGATGGCTCCTCCTGCGGCCGAACGGGTGGACCTCTCCCGGTTCGTTTCCCCCGAAGCGAGTCGCATCCGTCGACGTTCGAAACACGCCAGGGCACGGTTGCCACGGCAACGTTTCCTTCTCTGTCGTCATCGTCGACCCTCGAGAATTCTATCGTTTCGAGCGGTGATAGTCGCACTCGGTGATTCTCACCCCGAGAAATACCTCAAATTTGTCATCGACGAAGGCTCGAGTGGCATCGCCGTGCTCCTCCTTTCCGTACGCGAGAATTTGCCTGGTTCTTTTCGGATCGACCTCTTGCCGTCATTTTACCATCTGGATCGAGGATATGCGGTTCGGTCGCGTTTTAAATCCTCCCAACCTCGGTTGGAAGCTGTAAATATGGAAGCGGACTCTGCCCGGTCCGGCAGCCTCCGTCCTATCGGTGCACTGTCGTCGATGGTACGAGAGACGCGAAGAAAGGCTAAAAAAAATGACGGCGCAGGTGGAGTAAGGAGGTGGATGTTCGCGGAATGAGAAAGGGCCCCTGCAAGGGATGATTTGGGGGACGGTCCGTCGTCCCGACGTAGCAGGGACGACCGTCCACTTTACTCCATGCCGTTTCGAAACGCTTCCCCTTTCTTCAATTTTTTATGATACATTTTTCGTCGAATGAAATATTTTCAACGATGGCGTAGCGAGGGAGGTCTCTAGCCCCCCCCCCCCGGCCGAGAAGAAGTCACTAGCTCCCCATCCCCTCTGTTTCTCTTAGCCCCCCCCTTCCCCTTCGGCGAAACCCTGGCTACGCCACTGATTTTCAACGATCATAAGCGTCAAGCATGCACATCTGTGAGCTGCGAAAATCGGGCGAACGGTATGGAGCGAACGCCTCCCTCGATTCGGCATTTGCAGAGAGAACGGCGGATAGAACGCCCGACGTTTTTTCGCGGGTCGTCGCCGAAAGCGACCGCGTTGCGGATGCGAGACGGTTCATCTTTTCGCCGGTGGTTGCAGGAAGGGTCTGACGCGGTGCCCGTACCTGCAGGAGCCGGATTCCGTGTTCCTGCTCAACCTGGAGCACAACCTGCTGCGCCGGATCGAAGCGCTGTCGGGACTGGGGAACCTCGTCGTCCTTTCGCTCTACGACAACCAGATCGACGCCATGGATGGTCTCTCCGGTCTCGCCTCTCTCAAGCTCCTGCTCCTCGGCAAAAACAGGTCTCGACCCTTTAGAGCTCTCTCGTTTCTCGGCAACGACAGGCGGTCAAAAACCTTTTGCGCAAAGGAGGTCACCCTGAGCCTTTTATTCCTCTCGAGTTCTTCGTCCCGTTAGGCTCCCAAACGCGTTGACCGCCACGTGACACGCCGGTGTGTCGCATTCGTCATAGGGAAGAACAGCAGTTCCAAACTCCTTGGCGGTCAACGCGTTAAACCGTGCAAAGGAGTCTTTAAAATATCATATAAAAATGGTCTTCCGCAGTTCCGCTTCATTTCTCGGATTCATGCATCTACTCATTTAGTTTGATGGTTTGAATATATTAGAGATGATCTCGGGAAAGGGAAGAGCCTTTTGGGCTCGATGACGCGCAAATGCGTGCGCCTTTATTCCTTTGATCTTAATTACAAGAGTCGACCTGGGTTCCCAGAAGTTCTACAAAAGCATAGTCAATAATTCCGAAGACCACTGATGAACCTTTCGAATGCTACCAGTCCTATGGATATCTAGAGAGCCCGTATATGTAATTCTGTCCAACACATGGCTTTCGGATGATGTGATGCAGCTGGGGGGAAAAGACCACGTGATTGTCTCGAAAGTGGCCTCAAAGAATCCCTAAGAGTCTCCGCACGAACGAGTTGCTAACGACCGAACGAGTTGCTAACGACCAAACGAGAAATTTGGGTGGGAGTGAGCAGGACATACCATAATCCAGGAGGATGTTCCCAATCGTCCATGCCCCCCCCCCCCCCCTCCCGAATCACCCGCTTACACGATAAAGTGTTGGGAAATAGCTCCATACCTCCCCAAGCCTCCTCGTCCATCTGGGTCGAAAAAAAAAACGCTGTTTGCTCCGTCAGCATTTTTGAGTAAAACTCTCATCTGACCGTTTGGAGTAGTAAATCTACCGGCACACTAAATCTTGCCTCTATGCTCTGGATGGTTTCCGGGATTTGTTTTTAGAAGGCACTCGGAGACGCAACCATCCAAGAAGGTGAAAGGAATCTTCCCGCTTTCGCTTGAACGATGCGCTGAGAGAGAGAGAAAAAAAACTATAAAGTGCGTGGCTTCCTCGTTTCCACCGATTGCTCGAGGATTTCGCCCGTATCCACCATACACACTGATTCCGCGATGGTCGTTCGTAAGCAGTGGACCCACTTGTTTATATATAACATTTGTATTCAACGAGTTCGGTTGGCAATAGAGGGGGGGGTACATAAATACGTATAGCAAAATTAAGGAGTTGCCTCAACAAAGAATCAAGCAGGAGATGAGGAGAGGGGAGAAACAGCAAGAGAAGAAAATAATTATTTAAAAATACTCAAAAGAAAACGATGCAAAATGAAGGTAAGGAGAAGAAAATAAATAAACAAATACATAAATATAAAAGAAAGACGAGCAAGAGTAAGGGTTAAGCCAAAAAGAATCGAGAAAGGGCAAAAAAAAAACAGGGGAGAGAATGATAGAAGGAACCCAACAAAGGAAAATAACTAAACAGCAAAGGGGAAAAAAAAAAAAGAAGTTTAAGATAGCAGAAACCCAACCAGTAAAATAGAGCATCATACAAAGCAAAAACGGCAAACAAAAACAGACAAAAACAAACCAAATAATAATTTAAATTAAAAAAACGAGACAGGAAACTATTGATAGAATGCCGACCGAGTGGGTGGAAGAATTTATCTTTATCGTGATGGACGAGCCTCGAGCTTGATCCTCGAGAAGATTCCGTCGCCTCGGTGTTCGTTTCGGAGAGAGAGATTCCGGGTGGAGACGGAGACGTATCGGTTCGGCGATGAGAAACGTGGGAACGCGGCGAAGGTTCCCGATCTGCCACGAGAGGCATCTCGTGCGAGCCGAGCAAAAATCTCGACGGGCCCGAAGGTCCGGGAGCGCAGAAATCGGGTCTCTGTCGGAAACGAAGTCCGTTTCCTCGTCCGTCATTCTTCGGTCGTGGATCCCAGAGTCGGGATCGCGAGTCGGAGCCGTCGAAAGTCGCTCGGAAGTTATTTCCGACCGTCGGAGCGACAAAACGACGACAGGTGATCGATGGGAAGGGGGAAGAAGGGGATCGTGCTGCGCTCAACATCATACGCTCTCGTACCGGGACCGACTGAGACCGATGACTGCATGCAAGCGTCCGACGGGTTGCAAAAGTGTTTCGCCTCGAAACCGAAACAAGTACGACCCGATCACATGCACTCGAATCGTCCACGATATCCTTTCGATGCGATTTCTGCAATTTCCTCGTGCGGCCGCGGTCACGTCCACTTACCGTAAACATGGCCTCGTGATACTCGGATGGTCGAAAAAAGGCCGATTTCGTGAGCTAATGTGTTTCTTCGTTGGGTGAATTTCCTTGGAATGGTGGCCATGACGCGTTTCTGATGTGGAAGTGTGGAAACCACATGCCAAGGTCCCACTTCGGCCAGAAGGCCGAGTCCGAGTGGCAGGAGTGCGTATCGATGACGCCGAAATTCTGGGTCACTAGGACGAGGGAAAGATCCTGGGAAAGGCCACGAACCTATTATGTAACAGAACTATATTTACATGATGAATGAGGGGAGGACAGGGCAGGAGGAGAGGGAGGACAGGGAGGGAGGTGAGGGAGGACAGGGAGGGAGGAGGAGTCGAGGGGCTCCAAGCTTGAAGGCTCTGTCGCTCTCGAATTGAAAATGTCGAAGGGTGCGCTTCCTTTGACATCGGACGACGGTCTGGCCAAAGCGGGAGTTATGGAAGATCATATTCTTCTCTTCTATTCTACATTCTACATTACCCTTGAAAAGGAAAAAGAGTAGCTGTAATCTTTGCAAGAAAATACTCGTGACTGCCATCGAGAAGGAAATTATGCCAACAAATATCTGCTCGCGCTGCCTTCGCATATATCGACGGCACTGTCGAAAATGCGAACGAGTCGTGCAAATGAAGCGAGGCATTAAATTTAATCAAGTGGAAAGTACCGGGATCGAACTGCATCTTTCCTCGTCGAGATGTGTTTCCACCATTTGCCTCTTTCATCTCCCGTGCCCGACCCGGCATGCTTCTCGCCGGCTTCCGGTAGGTGCCCGCTCGGGTTTCGTCCCGTCGGCGTCGAGGAACGGCTCGGCCTCGGTGGAAAGCGACCGGTCTTCGAGTCGCGGTCCGAGGTGATGCCATGCAGATGCCAGGATGGGATGGAAACGTGGGTGCCTGCGCCGGTCGAGCAACCTCCCGCTTCCGTTCCTTTGCCATCGAAACTCGGTGACGTCGTCGTCTTCGAACCGAAGTCGCTCCCGTATCCATCGCGACGAGCAGACGGATGGAGGAAGTTACCGGGATCGTGAATGCATTCCGTGGGACCCGGGGTGCCTTCTGTCGACCGCGACTGCCCCTCCTCCTGATCGGACGGACGCCTGGAAACCCAGCCGCTACCGCGTCCTCCCGCCGGAGGAAACGGCTCCGATCCGTGAAAGTCGCGGTATCGCGGTGGAAGCTCGATGGGATATCGCTTCGGCAAGGCGATCCCGACGGTGGCGACCGGTCGTGTGCCGGTCGTCCCGCATCTTCCGGCCTTCTTCGAACGGTGCCGAAATACCTTCGAATGCTTTCGATCGCGAAGAGCTGCCGTCTCCGAGAGGCAGTCGCCTTGCGATTCGAGAGAGGAAAAAAGAGACTCGCTCGAGGATCTCAGCCAGCGATGCACAACCCGCGGCCCCTTGGATGCCTCCGGTCTCTAAAGATCCATGTTTAAATGCGGCCTATTTCGGCTCGTATTCGAGGGCCTGCGGCCTTCGAACCCCTCGAACATGAGCCGAAGTCTCAATTTGGCCCTCTAGGGGGAAAAGGTTGTGCACCTCTGATCCGCGCGATCGTGACTCTCAGACGTCCCGAACCCGGGTGTCTGGAGGGGGGATAAGAAATCTCGCTTCCCGGCACTCTATTAGTGGAACGACGCCATTTTTCCCGACATCAAGTTCCTATGCGGATCACACGTAGGGTATTGCCCTGGTAACCCTGGATGCAGAGGCGGATCCAGGGAGGGGGGGGGGGGGGGGGGGGGGGG